CCGCAGCCCCCTGCCAGCCCTGCCCTGGGCTCCCCTCAACACACAGCTCTGCTGGTGCCCCTCACTCCTGACCCGCAGCCCCCTGCCAGCCCTGCCCTGGGCTCCCCTCAACACACAGCTCTGCTGGTGCCCCTCACTCCTGACCCGCAGCCCCCTGCTAGCCTGGCCCTGGGCTCCCGCCACCCCAGCTTTGCCGGTGCCCCTCACTCCCAACCCGCAGCCCCCTGCCAGCCCAGCCCTGGGCTCCCCCCGACACACAGCTCTGCCGGGGCCCCTCGATCCTGACCCGGATACACCCCAAGGCACCGGGCTGCAGCCAGGATCCTGCCTCCAGCTGCTGATGCCAACGTGCTGGGAGCCGGGAGTCCGGCACTCGGTGCCCGGCCAGGCAGCGGCTCGTCAGCCCCTCGCGCCTCGAGTGCGGAGCCGGAGCTCACTGACCCCCGGGCTGGAGCATGGGGGCCTTGGGGGGTCTTAGCCTGGTGCCCCCCATGGAGTGCGCCCCCTGCTGCCCCACAGTAGCACGGCTGCTCCTGCTGCCGGCTGGCCAGGGGCTCGCACCCAGGACCAGGGGGCCGTGCTGGGCCATGTCCCCAGGGACCTGCTGGATCCGCTATGGGGTGCAGGGGGATCACCCCAGGACCCACTGTGGGGCGGCGCCACCCTGAGGCTGTCGCTTCTGTCTGCCCTGCACCAGACAGGTTACGGTCTGGTCCACCCGCCCACCTCCCTGCATCACACAGCCCCCCCTCCCACCTGTGACCCTGCGCCCCAGCCTCACGGCCCCTCCCCGCCCCCTCAGCTTTCAGCACACATCCCCCAGCGCCCCTCCCTAACCCCCCAGCCTTCAGCACACGCCCCCCCCAGCCACATGGCCCCTCCCCGGCCCACCTCACCCCCCCCCAGCAAAGTAACACACGGCTGTGACAAACTGGGCCTGTTCTCACTGTGGTCTGTGAATGCTGACAGGGGAGTGGGGCTGGGATAGTCTGCATTGGGGGATGGGATCTGCCCGAGGGCGCATACCTGAGTGTGTAACATGAGAACCCAGGAGGGGGTTGGAGGCCAGGTGACTCCTGAGCCCGGGAAACTGAACAAAGGCTGTGGGAGGGGTCGCTGAAGGCAGAGTGCTGGAAGCGAGCTGGAGAGATGGCTGGGAGGCAGAGATGGCTCTGACCCCCCCGAAGGGGGGTGGGCTGGGATGCCCTGGGACCCCAAGCTGGACCTAACCGAGGGGGTCCTGCTGTCTGTGCCTGCAAGACCTGTCTTGGACTGTATTCCTGTCATCCAAATAAACCTTCTGCTTTACTGGCTGGCTGAGAGTCATGGTGAATCGCAGGAAGCCGGGGGTGCAGGGCCCTGAGTCCCCCAATACTCCGTGACAACGGCCCCCTCCCTGGCATTTGGATGTGGCGTGCATCTCTGAGACGAGAGACCCCAAGGCAGCAAGGTCCCACAGGTCCCACCTGGCTGTGGGACAGAGCAGGGCAGGGATCTGGGAGGGGGCTCCTGTCCCTCCCATTCTCTACAGCCCCCATCAGCACCACGTATGAGCCGTCCAAATACCCGCAGAGTCGTCGTTCCCCCGCGTCCCCACATGCAGAGCCAGCAACCTGCCTCGGACCCCGGCCAGCTGCCCCCCCAGAGCCCCCGGGTACCGCGTGCGCCCGCCCCGCGGCGAGGGACTCACGGGCGTGAAGTGCTGGGGGCCGCAGGGCTCCCCCCGGAAGCGGCAGGCCAGCAGCATGTCCTCGATCTGGTGGCCCAGGCGGTGGAAGAGGCTGTGCATGGTGCGCTCGGAGCGGCGCGGCGGGAGGAAGCGCGAGTAGTTGGCGAGGCGGCTGAGCCAGTGGCGCTGGGCGTCGGGCAGCCCCTCCAGCAGCCCGGGCAGCAGGGAGCGGTTCTCCCCGGCCAGGCCCAGCCACTGCCCGGCCGAGTACAGGTCGGGCTTGGTGAGCTGCAGGAAGCGCACGGGGTTGTTGTTGCAGAGGGTGACGGCCGGGAAGTGCAGCCGCGCCGCCCACGCCATGCGCACCCGGCTGTGCACGGGGCAGGACAGCAGGTAGCGCACGCGGTTGCTGGACCAGGTGCCCAGGAGGCCGAGCGAGAGCAGGAAGGCCAGGCCCCAGAGCAGGCACCGCGGGCGCGACTGCCGGCGGGAGCCCATGTGGTGTAGGCCGTGGATCTTGGTGACGCGCAGGAACCGGGCAGTGATCTGGGCGAAGGAGCCGCCCGGGGCTGGGGCCAGGGGCGCCCCCCTGGGGCAGCAGGAATGGGGCCGGGGCATCGCCACCGGCTGGGCCTGGTGTCCTCAGGCTTCAGCCAGGAGTCGGTTTGCCCTGGGAGGCGCCCGGTCCCGCGGCCTGCCCTGGCTCTGCCCCGGAGGCACCCGGCCCCACGGCCTGCCCTTGCTCTGCCCCGGAGGCACCCGGTCCCGCGGCCTGCCCTAGTTTCCCTCCAGGGAGGTTCCTCTCTCCGGAGCCTGTCGTGCAGCTCCCAGTATCCAGCGCCCTGCGCGAGCCGAGCTTGGCAAGCGCCTCCTGAGCTGCTCCAGTGACGGGCGAGGCGAGGGGCGGGGGCTGGTGCAGACAGACACCCTCCCCCCAAGCTCCAGGCAGGAACGGAAAATTCCTAGAGCCTCCCTGGCACCGGGCTGGGCAGGTGGCATCGTGCTGGCCTTGGCACCTGGGTGAGGGAGGCCTGGCAGGACCAGGTGCCCAGCGGGGGCAGCGATCCCAGGGGGTCCGTGTCCCAGCCCTAACAAAGCCTGCGGCAGCTGGTGGCTCCGGTGCCGAGTCCCGGCAGGGCTGTGTGGTCACTTCCGCCGGGAGCCGGGTCCCAGGAACCCCGACTTCTGCCCATCCTCGGCCCTGTCACCCCACTCCCTAGACGCAGGGTCCTGCCCCGGAGTGTCTGTGCCCCTCAGACAGTGCCTGGGCCCTGCCTCCAGTCGGGGGGCTCCCTCGGGGGGTCCCCAGCACGGCCACACAAATTGGGGCAGAGCTGGGGCAGGGGCTGCCAGGCTGGGGGAGGCTACCCCCCCAGACTGAGCCGTTCACAGGCAGCAGCAACCCATTGCTCTGAATGCTGCGGGAACCAGCCTGGCAATGCCCCCCCAGCTCCTGCCCCCCAACCCCAGGCCCCGACCTCACCCCAGCCCGGCAGCCGGGGTCCCCCCACGCCGGGGCTGGGCTGGGAGCGCCCGAGCCTGGCATGCTGACGTGGGCGCCGGTCGGCTCTTTGAAGCGGCGGGTGAGACGGTGATCAGAGCAGGGGGGGGCTGCGCTCCCCCCTTCGGCTCCTCAAAGGGAGACGCTGTCGGCGCGGCTCCGACACCCAGACAGCTCGTCAGGGCGGCTTCAAAGCCGCGTCTCCGTGTTCCCGGTGCCGCCTGGCAGCCTCTGATCAGCCCGGCAGCCCCTCCCCCGGCCCGTGAGACAGCTGGCAGCAGGGGGGCAGTCTGGGGGGGAAGTGCCCGGGCTGCAGACCCAGCGATGCCCCACCGCATCCCCTGGGCTCACAGGACCTGGCCCATCGCTCGGGGCCCGGCCCGGCCTGAGCTCTGGGCCCCGTGTTTCCCGGTGTCCGTGGGCAGTGACAGGCGATGTCAGGGCTGCTGGCACGTGGCAGAAGCGCGGAGCCATCCTGGGCCAGGCCCTGGCCACGCCGAGATCTGAGCCGGTCAGTGTGACACGAACCCCCAGCTCTGCCGCCGCTCAGCCACGGCCTCACCCCCGACCGCTCTGGGGGGAGCCGAACTGCCCAGCCCCGGGGCTCCCGCTGCCCGGCCGTAATTCCACCACCACCCAGCCAGTGGCCAGCACTAGCCAACGGCCAGCCCACGAGTGGTCTCCATCCTACGAAAAGGGAAACTGAGGCCCAGAAGGGCACACGAGGAGCCTGAGCTTTCGGAGCCCACGGGCTCGCCGGCCATGCAGCGGCACGCCTGGGTGCACATGCTCCAGAATTGTCTTTGTCTTCCATGCTCATCACCTGCCACACCAGGACAGGAGCTTTGATTAGCCGGGGTCTGCCCCTGCCCTGCCGCTCAGATGGAGCAGCTGCCGGAGCCTTCCCTGTTGTTATTCAGCCTTCCTCAGCGCCACGGAGCCACAGGGTCCTCGCAACGCCCCCGGCTTCGGGCCAGCTCCTAGAGGAGCCCCGCCGATGGGGGTCTCACGTGCCAGCTGGGGGATTTTGCTCAGCCTCTCTGCTGAGAGGTGGGGAAATCTGTATCCCTCTGGGACATTGGCTGCTAGGTCTCACTGTCCTGGGGACTGGATTTGCCATTGTCTTCTCCAATGCTCCATTGCTATGGGGACCAGACCAGACCCAGATAGCTCGGTGACACCCACACCGACGTCTCCTGGCCTGCTCTGAGAGGCCTTTTCCACCCACTGGGTAACAACAGGGCACATGGGGAAACTGAGGCAGGGGCCCAGAGAGACAATGCAGCTCCAGTGAGCGGAGACCCCAGCTCAGGAACAAGGGTGGCCCTAAGGGCGTCCGGGGCCGGGTCCAGGCGACTCTCAAACCCTGTAGTTGGCGCTGCTGGTACCTGGGGAGGGGCGTTACTCCCTGAAGCGTCTCCACCATGGGTTGGCCTCAGTTGGACCCGCAGGGCAGGGCTCCCGTTGGGGAGCAGGAGGGCTCCGGAGCTCCAGTCCAGGAGGTGGGGAGCCCACATGGCTCCGTGACACCCCCATTTCAGCCAGTTCCTTAACGACACTATTCATCCCGCCCAGACTGGGCAGCGAGCCACTCGCCTTTCTCCAGCCTGCCCTGAGAGCAAATGTCCCCTTCCCCCACGCTGGGCAGCCGTGCAACGGGACCGGGGGCCCTGGAGCACATGCAGGTTCATACACAACCTATAGAAAGTTCCCACGTCATCCCAATCAGCGTCCGCACGCGAGAGCCGGCACAACTCCTGTTCTTACAGCTGCGGCTTCACGGCGCATTGAACTCACGCTGAGTCCACGAGCCGCTGGATCCCCCCCCATCCCCCCCCACACACACACCTTCCCAGCGTCGTCCGGCAGGGCCGCGTCACCGGCCACCCGTGTGACAGCTGCCCCCACGGCTCTCTCAGCCGGACGAGGGCAAGCGCACAGCCTGGCACTTCGCTTTATCCCAGTTAACAACCAGACCAATGCGCCTGCTTCCCGCCTGACCCACCCGCTCCCCCCCCCGACCCACCCACGACACACCTGCTTCCCCCCAACCCGCCTGCCACACAACACGCCCGCTTCCCCCTGACCTGACTGCTTCCCCCTGACCCCCCATGACGCGCCCGCTTCCCCCCGACCCGCCTGCCATGCAACACGCCCGCTTCCCCCTGACCTGACTCCTTCCCCCCCGACCCGCCCGTGCCGTGCCTGCCTCAGCGAACAGCCCAGCGTCCCCTGGAAGCAGAACCGCGTTCAGCGTTACGCTGCCGACAGCCACTTCGCACCAGCCAGTCGGTGCCACCGGGCCCAGGCCCAGCTCTGCGCCCCCCCCCCCCC